AACCCAAAAATAAATTCGTCTGCCTCGGGAGAGGAGAAACCCAATATAGGTCGCCTTATATGGAACCCCTGGCTCTCACTCAAAAAGAATAAAACACTTCTGATATTCGATTGAACTCTAAATGATGTCTCTTTGTGTTCAACACTTTTGAGAAGCGAGATTTATGAATTCAAATAACAGTTTTTCAAATGTTAAAACGCAAATATTTTTATTTTTACGAAAAGCAGCTTACCTTTCTTTTTGCTCTGTTAAAGAATGAAGAAAACATTTATCAGTAGTTTATTCGGTAATTTTATTTTTAAACAAATATAAAGATGGGTTTGTAATATATTTTTAAAGAGTTTAAAATAAATAATATTTTTACATATTTGTTTTAATGCACATAAATGCAAACTTTCTCTATCAAAAATGAAACACATTTTTATTGTAAAGTCTAGGTGATGTTTTTAAGTAGAGTCAATAAGATTTATTGTCTCTGCAAACTGAATTTTAAAGTAAATTTTAAAAAAAAAATATAAATAATAATTTCTTAATAATAAATATTCTAGGAAGACCCTAGTTAATAATACTATTCAAAGGTTCTAAGATCCATAACCACATATATCGTTCATTTTTTTAATTTTAAGTATCCATAATCAATACTTAAATAAAATATTTAAAGTAACATTTTAAGATGTTACTTTTTTCAATTTTTAAACATATTTTAACTTTTGGTGACAGGCTATGTTTATAATATATTTTGTCCCCATATACAAAAATCAACTTTCTACAATGGTTTAAAATTTAAAAAAAAAAAACATTGAGAACACTTGCATGCATTTACGAATTGTAAAAAATGATAATTAAAAAACTCAATAGTTGAATTTGTTTGCATGTAGTTTTTTAAGCAATCAGATATATATATAGGGGATCAGATATATCAGATATATATAGATATACTGTAAATTTCACTTTTTGCCAATATCACCCTGTCTCTAAAACTATCTAAGCTGATCAAAAATTATTAGTTGACGAATTAAAAAAAAACATGTTTAAAAGCAGTTTTAAATAACTGAAGAGTTTATTACACTTGAGTGAATTGAGTTCCTCCTTTTTCGTTCAATCTCTGTTTTTAGTATGTTAAGTGAAGGTTTTTTAGTTATTTGATTTTTACAAGGGAAGATTTTAATGATTTTTGTGCGTAGCCTTTTCACTGAGGATTTGAATGCTTTTCATAGAATATAATTTTGCTTGGAAATGTAAAACAAATATATTTAGGCTTATTCGTAGAATAAAATTTTATCAACCTCAATTTCAAACAAAGTGGTGTCAAATTTTATCTAGGCTTGTAAGTCGATTGAGAGACAACGGAGCAGATGTTTCATTGGCACTTTAATTGGCGATAATTCGGCAATTTTTTATTTTAAAAAAGGATTCCTTATATAAGTGCTGATTATGGTCAAATGCCATCTCATAAAGTATTTCTGAAATTAAATACAAGTATTTTTATTAGTTTTTAATACAAAAAAAGGAATAGTTGTTGAAATACAAATTATTTTCAATTTTATTAAAAATAATGGAGTTTTATGCAAAAATGACACATTTTAATTCATAAAAAAGTTTATAGAACAGTTTTTGATTTTTTTTTCTATCGTGGTAAACTACGCGTTCAAGATGAGTTACGCAATTATTGTTTTTCATAAAATTTAGATTACCATTTCACAAATTTTCGCCGTTGAACACCCAAACCATTCAGTGAATATTCAGCTTTTCTTTTATTTTTAACTTCTTAACCTTGAATTGAGAGAGAAGAACAAGAGAATACTAAATAAACAAGAGAACACTTACTTAAAGAACAAAGTCACCTTCAAGAACGTTAAACTAATCAGCAATTGCGCAAAATAGTGGTAAGAACTACGAAAACCTCTCGTGGTTAGCCCGATGCATATGGACCTCTGGTATATTTCTACCAAAGTATTATTGGCATTAGCGCGGCAATCTCTGCTAACAGGGAGCAAAATAAAGTTTGACTATCTGTGCTTCATTTATATGACTTAATTTCAGAAAAAGGTTTTAATTTATTACTATTTTATTTATTATTTTAATTTCATTTTAAAAAGAAAAATAAGGATACAGCACGTAACAATGATAATAATACTCGTATCAGTGAAATACAAGTAATGGAATTGTTTTGTTTTAAATAAAAATTTATTTTTTGAAAGCAGCGTTGCAAAAATAGTAACTGATGTTAGTCAAGTTTCGATCATTCGCACTAAAGGCAGGTTTTTAAAATCGATGTAAAAAATGTAGGTTTTTTCTCCTCATTCTTGTATCCAAGGGCATGATTGCACAAATTTAATTTAGATGAAAAACAATATTTATTACCTCTTTTTTTCAAAATTCAAATATTACTTTTATTTTTATTTTATAACCGTCGTTAAACAGCTGTCCCATTTTGGGATCAAGATTACTAATGTTCAACTCCGTAGCCTTATCATTTTGAAACCAATTCAGAAGACAAGGGAACTCTTGTATCAAGTATTGGGAGAAATTCGCCCTCGTAGAGGACTTTTTGATTGTTTGCGTTACACGCAGAGGGAAACCTCCCACAGTCAGCCCGACTACAAGGGGGCTGGAACGTATTCGTCTACCACTCGGAATATTTTCACGTCAGCACTGTGGTCGGTGAGAGCCGATCACACTGCATCGACCAGACATCGCTGGTATTTGAACCCGAATCACTGCTTTGGAAGACGAACACTCTATCCCCTGAGCCATCACGACTCAAATTCAAATGTCACGTAAAAAAAAATTGGCAAATATTTTTATTTTATTATTGTTATTTTTGTTTATTATTGTTATTTTATTTTGTTTATTATTGACAATTTTATAAATATGAAAATCCTGGTCACAATTCCTGAAAAGATGTCTAGAGAGGCGTTTAGTTTTTACTTCTGCTTTTTGTTAGGTAAAATTTCAGATACTGAAGGAAAAAAAGTTTTTCTCGATTTATTTTTTCTGATTTTATGGAAGTAATTTAGTTAATTTTAAGTTATTTTCTGTTATTATCACAGTTATTACAAAAAAGGACACTTTATAAAATCAAACAATAAATTTATTTTAATTTTAAACACATTTTAAAATAATACTGCAGTTTTATTTTATGGAAATAAGTAATGACATGTGAGTTATATTTTAAAATAGTAAGAACAACAAAAAATGTCTTTTTAAAGTTAAAAAATTCCACCTAATTCAAATGAAAATCTAACTTTTTAACTATATAATGTAGTTTATATTATATATTGTGGTTTATTTCATGATGCGAATAATGCATGATAATTGTGAAATTATAAATGGCTAGAATAGAATGAAATGTGACTAAAGTAACGACATTTATAAAATTCGTTTTATAAATAGATATTTTGATAAAATTGACTCATTTCCAAAAAAAAATTAGGTTTTACATTTAAATTAAAAATGAGCACTTGAAAATAATGAATGATAAAAATTTATCTTAAAACTCTTTGTATTAAAAAAAAAGTTATTATCAAAAGTAAAGCTAATCAAGTATTATTTAATTTATTTCATTAAAAATATTAAATTTTATTCATAAAAATCATCTGGAAGCAAAATGTAACTTGGAGTAATAGAGAGGAAAATGGTAAAATGGATGGTAACTGAATTCGGTAATATAATTTTACTTAATATTTCTGCATTGTTTACAAAGTAAATAATGCGTGGAACGACATTATAAAATTATTATTCTATGTTTTATTGCTCCGCAATTAAACAGAAAATAAATAAAATTATATCACCGGATTATTCTAATTTTTCTAGATATTCTTCTTGATTCTTCCGAAAATGAAAAACCACGCAAGATGAAAGCAAAAAATATAAAATCTAATAATATGCAAAATAACATGGCTGGGAACGCTGGATAAAATTAGTTTATATGAAATCTAGCAATATATAACGCAGAGAAAATGTATGCTATTGTTAACCTTTCGATAAATCTCTATAAAAAATAACTTACTTTTGTCGCCATAATGAATGAAATAACTTTTTATTAAAATAAATTCTGAGGTTAAGATGAAACTCATTTCGTCTTGTATTTCTTAAAGGATATTTTAGTTAAAATATTAGCAAACAGATGGCAGCACCAATGTTCTGCATTTGCAATGAATTCTTTAACTCCAAACAATAGTTGTCTTGCCAAAATAAATTACTTTTTTTTACAGATTTTTTTTATTACGAATTTTGCATAGTAATCTATCTCATTCATAAATAAAGAGTTTTAATGCTGTTTAACTTTTCCAGAGTTCCAAAAACATTTTTTTTTCTCTCAATGCAGTTTAGATCTGGTTTTGATATTAATTCTTTTTCTCCGGGATAGTTAAATTTAAATAACATTAAGCAGCTGCTTTCTCTGCCGTATAACATTCTAATATTATCTTGCATTTGCTTCGATGCATTATAGTATTAGATTTTCTGGTTAGAGTATTAAAGTGTCACTAAGAACGTTTAGTTTAGAATAATAAATTTAAAAAAAAAAGATTTCGATAAAAGAATAACACAAATAGATTAACTTTTTATGTTTATTCTTATTGTTCTGAAGCATATTTTGTTTTAAGAATATTTATTTTCTAAAAAATATTTATTTCCACATTACACAGAAATTTATAATTTATCTAGGACTAAGGAATATTTTTACCGTCTTACTATATTTAATAATATGTTCAGAATGTCATCGTTTTAAGTTTGAATACTCGCTCTGACTTGGATTTAACTTTTTTTTTAGTCTTTTTTTTTTTTATTTCACTAGTGAAAAAATACCACACAGGGCCCCAAATGCAATTACGGATTTGAAACTTGACATGCTGAAAGTACAACTTTTATGATACGCAAAATTAAAGTCCCCCCCCCCCTATTTGTTCAAAAATTTACGGAAAATTTTGTGACGCTTTCTGTTTAAAACTATGTAGTAAAAAGACAAGAGTTCGTTGCAAGATTGAATAATATGTTATTGAATAGACTTTGTCAGATTCGAAAGTGAAGATAATCTTCTTCAACTAATAATATTATTTTCATTGTGAAATAAATAGGAAATAAACAAACTAGAAGAAATTCTTTTATTCATAAAAAGAGAGGAAATTGTGTGACTCATTCTGAGGACAGTATGTAACCGAGGGTCCAACTGAAGTCTTCTCCGTTCATCTATAAAATAATGCGAAACAAGTCTTTTAAAAAAACTCTTTTTTTTAAAAAAAAAGTCAATTCCTACTTAGTTCAACAAAGAAAGATTTCATTTTAGTTACTTTTTATTAAATAATGACAGTTTTTTTTCCTCTCATATGAAACCAAAACGAATGAATTAAATTTAATGAATGAATTCATATTTGAAAAAAAAAAAACTGTCTTAACATCGAGTGTGATCCACTATTTGAACTCGAATGCATGAATGAAAAGTATTTTATGAACGAATGAAAATTTGAACAAGATCGATATAAGGAGAGTCTGAACGAATAGTAGGAACTGAATAAATACTATTTGATGATGCTCAAAATAATGTTTGAAAAACTTTGATGCCTATAAGAAGTGATGAATTAAAGGAAGATCTAAAAACGTTTTTTTTTTCTCCTCCTCGCAAACAATTGACGTCTCACTAATGACTGTTGGTCTAGGATTTATATTTAATGACGAACAGCTTCTCTACAAATGTTACGTTTGAGTCTGAAACAAGATTGAAGGGGCGGGTGAGAGGGGCATTTGAAAAGCTGTTATAGAGCGAATGGGAGGATTCTTCGGGAAAACAATAACAGGGTCATTAGAATAAGGAGTGACGGGAGTGCTGTTTGCATTGTATTCAGAATGGGTTTCATTTCAAAATTTTCTGTTTATTTCGTTTACTTAAGCAAATGAATGCATAAATATAAATAAAAAAAAATGAACATGTGAGGTTGAAAATTGTTACAGTCGTTAGTGACTGTAAAAATATAGAGGCCGCCAATAATTAAATTTTTAGCGTTCCAATGTTACTTGCGTTGATATAAAGTAAGACACAGAAACACATTTTCTCAGTGGAAAGATTTCTCTTTTCAGACATTTTAAGGCTCGCAAAATGTAAGGAACTTCAGTTTAAGATATAATTTTTAAAGAGAAAACATCGATTTAACTTAAGATAAATGAAATCAAATTGTAAGCTGATTAAGAATCATTCGAAAGAAAAATCTTTGTGAGGTGATGGAAGGCATTTTTGGGTGACTCACCTCATTTCCGATAAACTTCATTCCCCGCCAGGTTGTGTTGGTGAAGCCATATCCACTCACCAGCAATTCAAAAACATACTGGAGTCCAAAACAAAGATCTTTTTCCATCTACCAACACAAAATAGCATGAAAACCGTTCTTTTTAAAAAAGTCTTTTTAATAAAGTAAAATCAGCTTTTTACAACTTAACTAAAAGTGTTTAGAAATAGATAATACGATGAAATAAATTCGAGATAGGAATTCATCTGATTTGAATAGCGAACATCGAAAGAAAATCTTTTTACTAGACCGGCATAGTGAGCTACGAGTCTCAAAAGTTCTTGTACAGAGCGCAAAACAGAAAAACGGAGCACCCTGAATAACTTTTGATCACATGAGCCGATTTTCAGCCCGAGACTCAATCTTTACGGTGTGAGGGTATTACCTTAAATATTCTAATTTATCAAAGCAGGCGATATTTTAAGTTACGAAATCAGAAAAAAAAAAACATGATTTTTTTCACCGAATTCTTGATCCTCAAACTAAGTATAAAATGTGGACAGAATGCAGAAGAGCAGACAAAAATTTGGACGTTACTTCCATTAGACCGTATTTGGGACAGTTTTAAAGGGAATCGAAAAGTTTTGCACGGAATTATAAAATTACTCATAATAATCTGCCTTATTTTGTAAAAAAAATATTTTTAATAATTCTTAATATTTTGCATTAAATTATTTAATAATAGCCATAAAAGTTTTAAATTATAATGTATACAACCATTTTATTTTATTCTTTATACAAATTTTAATCGAAAAAATATGAAATTTGAACGCACTTGATTGAATTGTTTCTGAGTTATCAATTTTATTTTTTTAAAAAAGTCCTAGATTAAAAATTTGATTTCGTACTTACCGATTTCCGAAGATGATGACAATTGTTTGCAATTTCCGAAAATTCTTGTAGGCTCATGCTTTGCTTATTTAGGAATTTCATGTATGAAAAAAATTTTGAATGCGCCTGTTTGTGAGAAAAAATATTTTAGGTGCAAACGAAACACAGGAAATCTGACAGAAAAAATTTAAGGAACTCAATAAGCATTATAATGTTGTCTCTGCTTTAAATATTCTGTGTTATAAATAGATCTTTTCATTTGATGTACTTTATATCGTCTGTATTACACTTGAGTTTTAAAATGAAGCATTCTTTTCCCAGGAAGGATGCAGTTCTCGTGGCTAATATTAAGAACAGCATTATAGAGAAGGATTCGAATGGAATAAAACTATTTAATCCTAAAGCGTAAATGGCTTTAATGTTTTCTTTTTTTATTCAAATTCATATCATCAAAGAAAGTTTAATCTACGATTGAAAACTATTTCCTATTATGTCTGTAATGTTTAAAATCAAACAAAAAAAAACTATTTAAAAAATTTTTGATACTGATCACTATATTGATAGTAGATAAAAAGTCTACTCTGCGTGTGCTTTCTGATCATCTTTGTGTTTGTAAGCATTTTAATGAGCACAAAAACAACTATCTTTAATAATTTACGCTTATCGTCATAACAAAATAGTTTAGAGTTATATTATAGATTTACTGATGTTTTATATTTAATGCAGGAGAGAGACGTATCTAACCGATATTTTGTTTTCAAACATATTAATTGCTTATAATTTTCTGTAGAAAAAATGCTTTCTTTGCACGCTTTCTTGACAAATGTTAAAATCAATAGTGAGTAGCACATTTCTTTGTTTAGGGGGCATTCTCTGTTTTTGTCTGTGGTGTAGCGTTAGCAGAAACATTACGGGAAAACTCTGCAAGACCCACATTTTTCATAACCATTACATTACTGAGTTAGGAGATTCTGTTTGGCCATCCCCTGCGTGAATAGGGAGTCTCAAAGAGGCGAGTTTGTGAGGAAGAATCGAGCATTTAGACCAAAAAAATGCAATCATTTCTCAAAAGTGAACCCTTCCCAAAACACGGATTGCAAAATATATATAGTATCGCTTCGCGGACAAATTCGAATGAAATAAAGTAAATAAGGTAACACAAAATAGCAAAAAAAATAAAAGAGTAACTTACCAAGAACTTTGTGTTTTGTGGAACAACAATTTTGTGAAAACATTCCGAAAAATGATATCTTTTGCATTCCTCTTCACTCAGAATTACAGAAATGTTTTTTCTGCAGTGGAAGGGATTACTGCTTCCTTTAAATGTATACTTTCTATGCTATACAAAAAGAGTTAAATTTGAATTAAGATTTCCCTTTAATGGATTTATTTTGCAAGAACTTTTATTAAGGAACTTCGATATTCATGCTCTGATTAAGATGGTTACATAAAATTAATTTGCTCTTTTTTAAAATAAAAAAAATCCTGCTCGCACGTCAGCCATTTTTAGAAGTAGGATCCTTAAGGGGACACTTCAGGTTCAAAATGATTTTTTTTAAATATCAACCAATTTTAATGAAAATTTCATAGATTGTGAATAAAGCATTTAGAAAGATATTCCCAAAATTTGAAGCAAAAATATTAATTTGTTGAAAAGTTATAATTTTTTTAATAATTTATCCGCAAGTTAAATTACTAAATGTTCCAATATTTCAAAATGTTTCCTGCGCATGAGTTTTTATCGTAGCTGTATGAAACTCATTTATATTACAGTTTGAATAAGTATAAATAAAATTGGATATGTTTGAACAACTTAGCACTTAATTTTAAACAAATAAAAAATCAAAATATCATAGTCTTTATATAATTTTTAAAAATTGAAATTTAAATAACAATTTAAAGTAATTTAAAAAATATTCAGTGAGTATTCAGCTTTTATTTATATCACATTGGTTACGGAACATTAGACCAATCATATATATGAGAAAAAAATAAAGATTTATTCAAAACTCATGCGCAAGGAACTTTTCGAAGTTTGAATATTATCGTAAAAAACAACATTGAGAAAAAACAGTTTAACTATAAAAACAGACAGTTTACATAACCTTGTTTACAAATCTTGAAATGCTTATAACTTTGCAAAAAATGAATGAAATTGAAAAATTTTTCTTTTAAATTGTAGCTAGATATAAGTATTATTTTTTGAAACAAAAATTGAAAAAAGTATAATTTGGTCGATTTTTGGGTTTTCCATCGTGAAGTGTCCCCTTAAAGAATTTTAACTAACTGTTCGCCAACAATAGGTGTTTTTCGAGATTTTCTTTTTTTTTAAAAATTACGTACAAAAAATAAGTTGCCAAGTTAATCTGTTATTTTTTTTTATCTCACCTAGATCATGAACAAAGGTTCAATTGTGTTCATTGAAGCTGGCTACCATTTCCCTTTTCATGTAAATTTAAAATATTTAATTTGATTTTCACCTCTAAATTATAAAAATGATCCTTCAATGAAGTAGCAATACATTACTAAATATAATATACAGTACGCAAAACTTGAATAACTTTTGCTCTAGTGATCCTATTTTCACGTATTCAATCTTAATGGTTCGAGGGACTGACCTTACTACGGCTGATGAATGAGAGCAGACAATATTATAAGTTAAAAGAAAATTGTATATTCAAAATTTAATTTAAACTATTCATCCGATTTTGTCCACATTTTGTGTTTTCCCATTTAAAGTTACATTCTTTAAAAAATACGTAGAAATAGTTAATACCTTACATTTCATAACATTTTCGACCCTTATTAAATAAAATAATCAATAATTATTAAAAATAATTTTTTCTCGGTTATCTTTTTTGGGATAAACGAATTTTTTAATGGTGTAGATGAATGTTTCATCTCGGTGTTCTCGAGCAATAGCAGCGAAATGCCCAAAAAGTAAAAATTAACGTTAAGGGGACAAAACTATCGGACTCAATTTTCCAGAGAGTTATTTTGAGGTTCATGAATCCGTCGAAATAAAGATAGGTTTATTTAGAGAACGTATATATTTTTTTTGTATTTTGTAACCTAAAAAATTGTACGCACTCATATATTAGCATATTTAAGATCAGGTCCTTGAAACATCCGTTCGAAAATCCGCTCGTTAGATCAAAAGTTATTGAGGGTGCTACATGAACATCAATACAACACATACACACAGCATGCACATACAACTCCAAATACACATTCATTTAAGCGTGCTATAAAACTGTCCGAGAGTAAATGATGTTAGTATAATAGTTACGAGAATGTCTTGATGGAGTTGAGTGAAACGAGTGCTGTTGGTACACGTTCCACGAAACAACTCAAATCCACTTTTTGTCTCGCTTTGGTGATGAGGCAGACAGGGATCTTCTACTTCTGTTTTGGCAACATCCTAACAGAATAAGAAACCTTTATGTACCCTAAGAAAGCAACCTTTCTTTTTAATGTCACAAAATTGTTTGTACTAAAAAAATCTTTTTTTTTTCAAAGAAAGCAAAGATGTTGCTGTTTCAAACCTTTCATTCTAAAAGGATCGGAAATTATTTTGATAGCTTTTTTAAGAAGGATTGCCACTTGAGGTCCATATTGACATTTTAGCTGACGTCACACTAGCTATAGGATCAAATTAAATTGTCCATTTAAATTTCATGACAAGGTGGATTTTAGCTGAGCATAACAAGCGAAAAGAAACCTTATGACATAGATTTAAGTTTATTTTCAACTGGAGACTAGCTTTATTCAAGGATTTTTTTTGTCGTTAAGACAACCTTGATTTAATGTTTTTGTACAGAAAGTTGTCCTCCAAGGTTTTGGGTTAAGGTAATGAGTGTAGAATAGAGCCGATTGTGACAGATCTCGTTTTAAGATGAGAAGGTTTACACGCGAACCGCATAAAAACATTAGATTTACATCAAAAGGGTTTTGTTGCGTGAAAACTATCCTTATTTTCCTATCTGGGTACTTTAAGGTCTGGTTTCTTAAGACAAGCGCCTTATCTGGACGTCAGCGGGCCGTCAACGTCCCGCTGACGCCACCAAAATAGTGGTTTGTTAGCTCAAGGCTTGGTTTCTTAGAACTAGCGCCTTATCTGGGCGTCAGCGGAAAGTTGATGTAGAGCTGACGCTAAAAAAATACTTTTTTGTTAGCTCAGCGTGAGCAGTCGGTCCAGCGCAGACATTATCTCTCATTGCGCATGCGTTAATAACGTAAACAAATATTTATTTTGAATTTGTATTGATTTTGTTATTGTCTACCAGTGCTTTAGAGCACAAATAATGACTTTGTCCAAGAAAAAACACATTATAGCTGAGCTAAATGAAGAGTGCTATGTTTAATGAAGAAGCTATGTTTAATGTCAAAATCAAAATCTTGGCTGACTTCAATGTGCTGTTGGATGTAGTCCGCCATTGTTTCTGTGGTTAACGTCACGTTGTAATTCAACTGCAGTTGAGTTGGACGGCAATTGTAGTTCAAGATGAGCGTTCGCTGACGTATACTATCAAACTCACAAATGGACCAATCAGAGGTTAGCGCTGATTTCCAGCTGACGGCGTCCTGTCCTAAGAAACCAGGCCTTAAGGAGGACATTGATTTTAGAGCTATTTGTAGCTTTTTTCTTGAGATTGAGATTATGTATCGGGAGATTTCAAGAGAACGTAGGCTTATAAAGCTGCTTCAATTTTAATCAAAAGGCAAATCCCAAAGGAACTTACTACATGATATCCTACCCGGATAGCAAAATAAGGTTTATTTTAACTCAGCAAAAACCTATTAATACAAACTTAAAAAGGTTTGTTATGCGATTAACGTGTAAACCTTCTAATCTTAAAACGAGATCTGAGCAAATCTGCTCTATTCTACGCCCATTACCCTAAACCAAAAACTTGGAAAACATCCTTCGATATTAAAACCTCAAATCGAGGTTCACTTAGGGTTTTCAAGCGTGAAAACTTCCTTTAATAACGCTAGTCTCAAGGTGAAATTAATCTTAAATCTAGGTCATTATAAGGTTTCTTTTCGCTTGTTATACTCAGCTAAAATCCACCTTGTCATGAAATTTAAATGGACAATTTAATTTGATCGTATAGCTAGTGTGACGTTAGCTAAAACGTCATGATGGACCTCAAGTGATAATACTTTTTTAAAAAGTAATCCTTTAAGGTTCGGGACTGCAATATTTTTGCTTTATTGAATAAAGGTTTTTAGTACAAACAGTTTCGTGAGAATAAAGAGAAAGATGCCGTAAGAGGTTATGTGCTTTCTGGGGTATTTTCTCAATGTATACGATCACATTATTCTAGCTAATTCCACTGAAGGAGGTTTTATTTGAACAGCATCCTTCAGATGTTTTCAATTAGATAATCACACAAAACTGTCATTATCCTATTTATCGAAGGCAAACCTTAAAATGATGTCAATATTGGCTGAACCGAATGTCGTTTCCGTGCATTTGATATTTGTTATCAAGATTTAATTTTTTAATCAACATACCCTCGTTATCAACAACCTTTCAATAGCCGGATCGAAAATGAATCGAAATAAATAAATTGGTTTTTAAGACTAAGGAATATTTAAGGAGGCGAAACGACCTTCCTGTCCTCCTTACAAGTAATAAAAAAAGACATTTTTAAAGTGAATAGTTCAATAAAGTAAAATTTTATTTTAGTTACTTTTTAAAAAGCAATTACAATTTTTTTCTCCCCTATAAAACTAAAATTAAATGAATTGAATTGAATGAATGAATTCATACTTGAAAAGAAAAAAAACTGTATTAATCCACTAGAAACTTATAAAAATGTATTTGAATTTCAATCGGTAAATAAAAAGTATTTTATGAATGATTGAAAATTTGAACAAAGCTATAGGGAGAGTGGGAACTAATAGTAGGAATTGAAGAAAAAACAAAATAACTATAAAATAACAAAATACTATCAGATAACTATAAAAGTATCAATTGGATGACATGGACCACATGTGCTACCACGTAATGTCCTCTATTGAATTTAATCCAGTGAATATAAAATAATTAAATATTTAAACTAGGAGGCTTCGCCCTCTGCTCGCTGGCGCTCGCCAACCCCCGGAACTGCTTTCGCAGTTCATTTCGGATTGCTTCGCAATCCGATGCTCGCTTTACTCGCTCATTGGATACGTTCTTAACGACTAGCTTTTGTATACTTTTTTGAACACTGAAGTTCCGAAAACTTTTCACTGTAGAAAATTCTAAATCTGTACATTTCAATATTAATTTGAAATTGCAAACAGTTCGCATATTTTTCTTAATCACACTATTCTAAATTTCAGTTGTTGAGAAAAGTAACTGTTGCAAGTTTTGTCTTAAAGTCCTTCCCACCAGAGGGCTAAAGCCATGTGTTGTAAAACAATATGAAATAGTAGTCTGTCACTGAACGCCGGATGTAAAGCATCGGCTTCGATGAAGATAATTTTGTATTTTTAATTCTCTAAAGGGTGCCATCCTAATAATATGTAATTTGCAAAATAAATATGTATATTTTTGATTGTTGATGAAGCCCATCATTTTGTGTTTTCATCAGTGTTCAGAAGCAGAACAACTATA